ATGCCGTTGAAATGTTGTTCGTCCGTTTATGTACACCGGTAGTAAGTCGCGGACGGGGCTGATGGTCAACATTAGGAAATGTTAATACCGATAACGTAATCCTATCGATTTCAAACTGGTCGGGTGTGGCGACCTAGTGGCGGCGTGTATTTAGTCACGTAGCAACTGGCCGGTCGTCCTAGCAACGATACATGGCCAATATTTTTGGGTGGGCCGCTCCATAGTGTTAGTGGAGCAGCTCTTTGTAAACATGGACAATATTTTTGAGCAACCCATCAGTGTTCTGCCTCGTGGTCGGATGTGGTCTGGGGCTGGTAAACCGCACATACAGTACTAGTAGATCGGGTAATTTTATGATTTGCTAGTTGTAAAGGCGTCGTGTAGTATGAGCCGGTATATGAAGAAGTAGCCTGTGTTACACAATCATGCTTTCGGCCGGATTGATGTGCAAAGTTGTTACTAATTACAGGGACTGCGCTAATGCCGACCAGTCGCGCTGTCCTGATACACCGCGAATGTGCGAGTGTTCCCTGTAGACAGTCCCGGAGTCATTTTTTTCGCACATTCCAGGAGCCAAACCAAAATACGTTCATGAACCGAGTCCAAAAAACCGAAACGTGAAAATCGGATGATCGGACCTGATGTACATTTCTCTTTCTGTAGATTGTACACACAATACATACATCTTTAGATAATCTGGCCATGGCAGGTAAAAAAAAAGTAACCCTGAATCATACTAGATTAGCGTAAATGCATGTTTATGCATTCAAAACAAGAAAAGAATTTGTTTCTCGGTATTAATCTCTTGAAACACGGCGCTGAATATTGACGCAAAAATATTTCGGGCATCGCGCGCCCTTCCCCAAATCTCGCGTCACGTGTCGGCATTTCGCATCTCTGATTGGTTGTTGCGACTTAAGATGACTGAGCCGACGCGCGTTTAAACAATTTTTCTTTGTTCGATTTATTTTCTTCACAGAGAATTGTCGCCAATGGCTACTTCTTTTTGTTGCAATATATAATACTTCACGGAGAATTGTCGCCTATGGCTTCTTGTTTAATTTGTTTTATAAGGCGCAGTCACAAAACCAAAACTCTTTGTGCACCTAATTTTTTAGGTTGGGTGCACCAGTGCACCTACATGTATTCCCAAAAATGAATTTAGAGCCCTGGATACTAGTAATTGTACCATAACTTACCGTCACTTTAAAGGCATCCAATTTGCAATTTCAGGGATGCAAAACTGGATTTTCAAAGTCAATTTCCTGGTCTCCCTTTTAGTGTAGTATTATTTAGTTGAGGCAAAAATGTGATGTCGCTAACAGAAAATGTTTTTATTTTAGGCCACACCAATTTAATTCGTTGTTTCTCAGATTCGCCCTGACAGTCAGTGTCCATTTTATCTGATTGGCAAAAAAAAAAGATTTTAGGTTGTGAATCAACTGCTTGATGCTCAATGAAAGACATATTTTGGCCCTTACGGTTGAAGAAGTCCCTTTCTTCCTTAAGTTGTTAAAGTTTTACGATGTAACAATGCAACTTCGTGTCATTTAAAGTTCAAAAACTATTGTGAGTTTTAATTATAAACCAGTCTGGTATATGTTGACTTCATGGCTCATATCTCAACATTTTTGGCCATCATGGGGTGCCTTGGTCTGTTTTTTTTCCCTGTCGCTTCATATTTTTTCTGAAAAAATTCGAGAAGCAACAAATTAAATTGGTGTGGCATTATTGTAGGCTATGTGTAATGCATATTAATGACCACACTCAATTACACAAACATATAGTACATGTATATGAATATCTTTTTCGCAGCCCTTTGGTTCTAAAAGTCATCAGTCGGATTTTAGCAAAGAAGGGACAAAAATTGCAGATACATCTGCACTTTCTGCTAAAGCCTATAGGTGGCACTGCTAAGATATGTAAATACATGTAGTGCATGGAGCTATGACACCACAAGGGTTTAATGTACATTGTTTTGATATGAAAAAGTCATAATTACAAATCACTTCTGTTTGTTTATTGATTTATTAGTTTATTCCCTGACCAAAGATGGGATTGTAACTGACAGGAAGTTAGATCAAAGGTCCCAGAAAATGTTATCTCCTTTCCTTTGTCTTCAAATTTCTGCATGTCTGTTACCTTATGGTCTCGAACCGGAGTTTCCTTCCGTGTTCGGAGCAATTTGACACCCTCAGCCCGACGGGCTGTCATTTCTGTACTAAACGCGGAATTTTTCACTCTTTTAAATTTGGTGGAAAGGGGTGCCGTGCCGCTTATCAATACACTTGATTGATATTTTGTGCGCCCGATTCTTTTAGGGGTAAATAAGGCACATCAAAGTACATTTTTAAATATTATAGAGGGGTCATTTTTTTCGTCATTTTTAACCATGGCTGCATGGAAAAAAGAATTTTCCCAGGGTAACGGCTTAGTACTCGAAGAAGCTCAGAACCTAATGTTTCCAAAATTTGAATTTAATTAAAATCGATGTGATATGTTTATCGCTATCTTCGATGGCCTGAACACACCCGCAACGCATATAGAACCTACCATCCCCGCGGTCAGGCAAAAAGGCTACATAAAGATCCGCGCAGACTAATACCAGGAAGTCTTCGCTGCACCACCAACATTACGCCATCTATAAAGGCTACAACTAACAGGCTTTTCAGAAAATACAAATATATGTACACAGATATTACGATTTCAGGGATATCGCGGCCAAAACATACCATACAAAGTCATGTTTCAGGCGATTTACTGCGCACTTACTTATAATTACTCTGGTCTCTGACTCTGGTCAGATTTAAACTCCGACCCGGAACTTTAAGGGAGCCATACACATAATTTTTACTAGTAGAGAGGGATAAAACTCTTTGAGTTCTCTAGCGGACAATAGAGATCTCAGCAGTTCTCTTTGGATTAGGCATTGTTTTCCCAAATTCTATCTCAGATCTCTTGCAGTTTCTAAATACAAGTCTCTTTTTTGAAACTGTTTTCTTACATAATTTTCCATTGTTTGAAAAGTCTCTAATTCAAAATCACCTGTGAAAACATGGCTGCCTTGTTGTTTTTTATGTCATTGTTAGGGTTAGACGCTAATCCCCATTTGATTATCTATTGTTCAAAACAATTGATTGTATCTGAGGGGGTCCAACCTTAGGTGTCAAGAAGGAATCTACAGCAGTTCTCTTTGGAGTCTCTTCTAATGGGGACAAATCTCTTCTGGCAGTCTTGTGCTGTAATGAGATCTCAGTTGTCCGCTAGAGTATTCAAAAAGATTTATAAGTGTAATCAGAATAAGAGAAGAAATTCACAACTCAAAATGCTTCAATAGAGGTGTGAAATTCCTAATTTCTAGTTCTGAATCTGATTCTGAGATTGTTGCACGCTTCTTGAAGCGTGATGCCCAGATCAGGTTAACATTAGGCTAGCTGTGTAAAGATTTGTCAAGGTCTAGTGCCTGATTGTATAGAAGGTCTGTTCAACCAGGCTGTTGCCAAATGATAAGCCTGAGGAATATGTGAAGATTGGTAGGTTGTATCATGTCATTTCACGCTCTCCTGGCCAGCTACGCAATTGAAGTTTGACGTAGTTGATATTCCGAAATATGACGCCCGAAATTACCACGCCACGCCAATTCAATTTGTTGCTTCTCGGATCGCCCTGTCCATTTTTTCTGATTTGCAAAAAGAAAAAAATTGGGGGGGGGGGTTCTACAGTAACTGCAAAATGTTCAATGAAAAAAATTGTTTTCCTTTGTATTTCTCCTGCATTCCCGTCTATGTCGTAAAATGTGGTGGAGCCATTTGCTACATTTGCTCCAAAGCAAATGTCGGCCTTTCTAGTTTTGACATGACCTGTGAAGAAAGTAGTACACTCTAGGTCAAGTTTTCAGCTTCCTTAGCGCTGTTTTCAGAGCGGCAGGCATCTTTATCATCCTTTTGGAATACCCCAGGGGGAAGAGGAAGAAGGGTCATACCATTGAGAGACGGTAAGTTTCAGAATTCAACTTCAAATTTTTTAATCACAGTCAGACCTTTCTGTACAATAAACTTAAACTTAAAATGGTCATACTTATAGAACACAGGTGGCCACTACAAGTTGTATACACCATATTTTTATCTTGAGAGTTCATCTGCATTGGTAGAAATCATTATGAAGCAAGTTTAAATTGTAATTTCCAAAACAACAAATTGGACTCACCCAAATTTTTGACTGTACAACTCCAGTCTTTGTCAAGGAATGAACAATCCACCGCTTCCGTGACGTCACACACTATAACACACGTGACTCCGTGAGCAGTGGATCATAGGTTACAGAAAGTACAACCATCCCTCAACAGAGACGGGGGGCGCCACAGACTTTCTGCCTCCTATGATCCACTGCTCACGGAGTCACGTGTGTTACCTGCGTGACGTCACGGAAGCGGTGGATTGCTCATTTCTTGACAAAGACTGGAGTTGTACAGTTGAAAATTTGGGTGAGTCCAATTTCTTGTGTTGGAAATTACAGTTTTAACTAGCTCATAAGGCCACACCAATTTAATTTCTTGGTTAACGGATTTTTCTAGAAAAATAATGGAGCAGGCGGGCGAAAAAAATAAAAATAAAAACAGGCCTAGGCATCCTATTATGGCCCTAAATGGTACGATAGGAGCCATGAAGTCAACACACCAGGCTGGTTCAAAATTTAAACAACGAATTTTGAACTTTTAATGATACCATTGCATTGAAAGATGGAATAACTGTAACAACTACAAATGTAGGATGAAAAGGACTGTTTTCAACTGTTCAGGGCAAAATGTGAGCATTTTACAGTTGATTCTAAATTTTTATTTTTATTTGCAAATCAGAAAAAAATGAAGCGGGCAAATCCGTTAACCAAGAAATTAAATTGGTGTGGCCTAATGGCTATATTTTTAGTTACCACACAATGTATGAAATAACAAGAATGTATGTCAAAATCATACGAGACGGAAGCTCTTTAAAGCAGCCAGCAATTTCCATGCACTGATGTTCCTAATATCTGTTCACGGATCATGGCTTAAGCTACGGTCACAACCCGCTGTACGTGCTTCTGCGTGCTGTCTGCATGCAAAAACGTGGGCAAACGTAGGGCATCCGTGCGTGGTGAGTACCGCCTCCGTACGGAATCCTACGGTTTTGGGAGCACGCAGACACGCCGTAGAACTTTAAGTGCATGTAAAACTTTTTCTACGTGCGGTCTGCGGATTCGCCACCCATGCATGCGAATACGAGCAACGCGTGTGCCCCGTACGTGCCGTGCGGAAGAAGCACGTGTGAGTACGGCCTCCTTACGGTAAAGTTGCAATCACACAGAGATCGTACATTGTAAGCACGTACAACTCACTTACCACTTGCGCAACTACGATGCACGCAACCGCTCACGGCCAGGCGTGGTGTGCAGACCACACTCTTACACCTTGCGCAACCGTGCGTCGACGCCACTCCTTCCCCACGTTTTCAGAAAAAAACTAGCAGACCTAGCCTCCCAAAAAACGAACGGACAAAAAGCACGTACAGCGGGTTGTGACCGAGGCTTTAGTGTAGATTCTCTGATCCATACTGCCTCCTTATTTCATACAGTCAGTGCATCCATTTGTATCAGGAGTGATATAGACCGTCACTGGACAACAGATGCACTCTCTGGATTTAGGAGGATTCCTGCTATCAAATTACCAACCAAATCAAACTATGCACGGATATTACCTCTACTAAGGCAACACCAATTCAACTTCTTGATTCGCATATTCAACGTTACTGTTTCATTTTTTTTAGGACTAAGTTCTAAATCAACCCAACATGCTTAAGTTTTCGCACCAGTAGTTGAAAGAAAGTCATTGTCTTCCTATAGCTAGTAACAGTTCTTCCATGCATGTATATCAATGCAGTGATTTGATTAAAAAGTTCATAATTCACTGTTTAAATTTTGTGGCTCCTATATGGAAGCATTTGGGACTATCACGGTATGCCATGGCCTGACTGTTTTTTCCCCACCAACTTTTGGATGTCCTGAAAAAATGTAGAGAAACTTAGAAATCAAATTTGTGTGGCCTATAATCTCCAAGCAGATCTTTTGGTTGGCTACAAAGACAGTTTAAATTGGCCAGGCAGTATCTATTTGCTGGACACCTTGCCACCCCAAAGTGGCCAATGGTACATTGTAACTGTCTGGCCAATTTGATATAATTGTCTTTGCCACCATCCAAAAGATCTGTTTGGAGATTACATGTAGGCCATGTTGATTTTATAATATGGATGACATTCGCGTGCGCATGAATTTTCGTCCGTTTCCCTCCAAAAAAGAAAGTTTTCGACCACACTGCAAATCGTACAAAAATGAGGGAAGACAAACACCGTATTGTTGTATGTTGCAAAAAAAAGTATTGGAAAATAATACTAATGTAATAGAATGCCGAAATCAATTCAGGAAAAGAAGAAAATGTGAAGAAATGAAAATGAAGAGTATTATTCGCCATTATGATACCATACGCTGTGTGTTTAGTCATTTTTTCAACCTTTATGACCACATAGATTTCATAATGAAGGAAACTTTTTTTTGCCAAACCTGTTTTTTATTCGCACGCTCGCTTCAGTTTTGGGGTTCCCAGAGGATGTCATCCATATAATCAAATCAACATGGCCTTAGTGGCCTAAACATGGTTTGTGCCCAATCACTCTGGTCTTCCTCAGTCAGACTGACCCAGTGAAGCTTGTCACGTGGCTTTTTTGAAGTGTGACATCAACACTGGGTCTGGTATCTGGTAGACGATGTCAGCCCCCATCACGGTTAAGTGAAGGGTGATGGGCCCTGATGTATATGGCCTCCTTCACCCCTCTTAAGAAATAGTCTTGTTCAGTGTGGAAAACCCTCCCACATCATCTACCAGATACATGTACCTTTGACCCAGTGTTGACGTCACACTTCAAAGAAGCCACATGACAAGCCTCACTGGGTCAGTCTACTGAGGAAGACCAGAGTGACTGGTCGAAAGCTCTACATGTAGGTGAGAGATTTCTTTGTGTTGAACCAAAAGTTTTAACTTGAAACATGTTTTGTTGTTCTGTTCCAGGTACCAGCAGTACTTGACACGTGTGATCCATGCATGTGGCACCATCACCAGTAACTACTACATCAGATTTGTCCTCCACCTTCTGTAAGTACAGCATACATAGGGGTGCTAGTGTAACGGAAATGAAATTAAAGAAACCTACAGTGGGGGGACACTGGAAGACAGAGTGACGTAGAATGTCCAGACTGTGCATGATTTTCAAAATGACTAATAAACTGGTGGACGTACCAACCACTAAGTATCTGATACCAGCCCAGAAAAGAACAAGAAACAGTCATGCCTTCAAATATCAGAGTTATCAACCAAGAATTGCATGAGGTATTCAAAAACTTGTATTTCCCCAGATCGTAGACTGGAACTTGTTGCTACCAAGCACAGTTGGGGCATCATCACTAGAAAGCTGCAATCAAATGTGCAAACTTTAAGATTGAGTGTAACAACGAAGCCGTTTGGTGTGATATATATAGCTAGCTGCCGCCGCGCCGCGTGCCTGCAAAGCTGGTGTGTTACGCCGAAGGGCAGTTATACGGGCTACTAGTATACAGATAGAGAAGCTGGTGTGTTACGCCAAAGGGCGGTTATACCGGCTATACAGATACAGATATACATGAGTGCCCACCTCCCACTACTTAAGCTGACTCTTGAGTTAGACATGTTTTTTTTTTCTGTATAACCTACTGTGGTGAACACTACTAGCTGTGTAGTAACCCCAGTGGATTTCTTCTGCCCTTGGGCCACACAGGGCCACTATAGTAGGTGACTATATATAGTCCACTGGTATACAGTACATTGCAAAAAAAATGTGCGCGTTCAACTCCCAAACTCTTTCTCATGAGTGCTAAGTGCTACGCAAAAAGTCCTTGGTTTAATCCCCTGACCTTCCAAAATCCAAACTCTCTACCCTCTATAGGCTACTGCTCCAGTTTCCTTCAATGTTAGCCAGCATTTATTTTGTGGCTTTCATGATCTAATACAGACTTTATGTCAAGAGTGAGAGGGGCTCATAACCTTCACCTTAATTCCGATCATGCTGCCAGCACTGGTAATAAAACCGACGTCGCGCACGTCATTCCAGTTCCACTTTTCACGTGGGTCTTGCGCCTACATCCCGATAAATCCTCACCGTGTACTGGGAAGGATTTAACAGTAGACTATTGTCCCCGTAAAGCGTACATTGATGGATGACAGTTTAGTCACAGCGGGAGATGTGTCTGTGTTCTGGATCCGTAAGTGCTTCCAGTTTGGACACTTTGGGCTCAGGCCACACCAATTTAATTTCTTGGTTAACAGATTTTTCTAGAAAAATAATGGAGCAGGCGGACGAAAAAAATATAAAATAAAAACAGGCCTAGGCATCCTATTATGGCCCAAAATGGTGCGATATAGGAGCCATGAAGTCAATACACCAGGCTGGTTCAAAATTTAAACAGTAAATTTTGAACTTTTAACTAGAAAGGCCAATATTTGCTTTGGAGCAAATATAGCGATGGGTTCACCACATTTTACCACATGGCAGGGAAAGAATGAGAAACACAAGGGAAAACAATGCTTTACATTGATATAACTATAGTATGAAGTAACATACAACTAAGACTACAACAGTTGGATAGCTATTCCCTACATTATTGGTTAGGATTGCATAATGCAAACTGTTGATTTTCAAGATAAAAAGAAGCGTTCATAGCCCGCATTCCAATGCTGGAGCAGGAAAGCTTAAAATACCTACCAAAACACTTGAATACAGACATACTGTCAGTATGGCATGGCTCTGTGCAGGTGTAAATGAAGTTAAGCCAGTTAAATCCCAACAGCCAATCAGCAAGGAGAATAGAGGAAAGCTGCATGCCTATTGGTTGATGCCTTGCATGCCATTGTGATGACTCATGTCCAAATGTGGTAAACACTGCACACTTACACAGTAATACATTAGCTATTACACAGCCAAAAAACTCAAATAAAACCATTCTAAAAGCCTGTATCACAATAATTTAAAAAACGCCTAGGGGTATTTGCCCACTGTACCTCCATACCAAATTTCAGGACCTTAGGCCCTAAAATGAAGAAGCTGAATCCATTTAAAGATATGGCAGGAGGAGGAGGAGAAGGAGAAGAAACATCAGAAAAAGCAATATGGTTTCACCACACCACTTCGTGGTGTGGTGAACCCATAATGATACCACTGCATTGAAAGATGGCATAACTGTAACAACTAGGAAGAAAAGAACTGTTTTCAACTGTTCAGGGCAAAATATGAGCATTTTGCAGTTAATTCTGAATTTTTTTTTCGCAAATCGGCGTCTGGTGTGGTGTAGTGGATAGAGCGTCCGACTGTCAAGCAAGGAGACCCAGGTTCAATCCCCAGGGTTGGACCCAGACATGTCCGGACATACACCCAGACGTTGTGCCTTTGGGAAAGGCACTTAACACGCATTTCCCCCCTCAGTTAGAGGGTTCCTGGGCCCTACTAGGGTTTGGGTTGGCGTTAGGAAGAGCATCCAGCTGACTGCCGTAAAAATCTTGCTTCAAAAAAAGACTTCCACTTGGTGCAAGCACGTCTAAGCCCCAGTTGGGGAAAAAGATGTTAAATTCGGTTTAAAAAAAAAAATCGGAAAAAAATTAAGCGGGCGAATCCATTAACCAAGGAACTAAATTGGTGTGGCCTCGGTTTTCGGCTACAGGGTGGCTTAGACCTGCGTCTGGCGTAAAGTGACAATAAATCCCACCGACTCCGCAGTCGGCTTCACCTGACGGGTCTGTCGCAAACGGATAGAAGTTAATTGGATGGGACGACTTTGCGTACACTGTAAATCTTGTTCACATTCGCCGGGTGGTTTTACTTTGCTTTGCAGTACAAGCTCACTACCAAAAATGATTTTTCTTGTTTTTTCTTTGTACAAAGAAAATGTATCTTGTAGCAAGAAAATTATTCTTTGAACAAGAAATTCAAGAATCCTCGTAGCAAGAAAATTTAAAAAAAACAAAATGTTTCTTGAGTTTTCTTAGCAAGAAAACGATTCTATCCACAAGAAAATATTTCTTGAACTAAGAGCTAACTGTTCTTGAAGCAAGAAAACCATTCTGTACACAGGGAAAGATTTCTTGTAGCAGAAAGAAATACTGTGAACTTTCTTAAAATTCTAAAAAAATTTTAGATTCTTGTTGGTGAGCATGATAGTAGAAATGTTTTCTTTTCTGAAGAAAAAAGAAGGATAAAATTCTTTGTGTAAGAATCAACATACAAAATCTGAAGAATGTATCTTGAATTTCTTGAATATCTCCTTCACAAGAAAATATTTCTCAACATAAGAAAATAAGAAAAAACATTTTTGGTAGTGTATTAAGCTTAAGGGAATAGGACGTTTTCAGGGCGTTTGAAGTTGAAACAATTCTGTGGTTACTCTACAGTTGTTATGTAGAACTACAAGACTCATAAAAAATTATCCATGGTAACAGTGAAACGGCAAAAACTGGAAAAATAAAACCACCGTAAATATTTTACTCTTTATAGTACTTACAGTATCAGAAAAATAGAGATGCTACCAACGTAGCCATGCAGTACGTCTGTCAGTGTATTAAGGTATCAGACACAGCTCTGTGCAACAGGGATACATGTAGATTGAAGCCGAAACTTTATGGCACTTTTGAACATAAGTTAGGCCACACCAATTTAATTTCTTGGTTAACAGATTTTTCTAGAAAAATAATGGAGCGGGTGAGCAAAAAAATAAAATAAAAAAATAGGCATCCTATTATGGCCCAAAATGGTACGATAGGAGCCATGAAGTCAACACACCAGGCTGGTTCAAAATTTAAACAATGAATTTTGAACTTTTAATGATACCATTGCATTGAAAGATGGAGTAACTGTAACAACTAGGAAGAAAAGGACTGTTTTCAACTGTTGGGGGGCAAAATATGAGCATTTTGCAGTTGATTCTGAATTTTTATATTTATTTGCAAATCAGAAAAAATGAAGCAGGTAAATCCGTTAACCAAGAAATTAAATTGGAATACTATTTTTATAGCTTTCTTCCTTTGTATACAGATTGTGTGTGCAGGGCTGGAAATATTGGGGTGCACCCAGAATTGCAGCTGTGCACCCAATTCTTTTCTGTGGGTGCACTGGTGCACCCAAATATTTTTGTAGGTGTTTTTGTAATAGTATATGCAGGATATTCTTGGCATCTAAGAGTCAGAAAAATAATAAAATCTTTGTTGTAGTTCTTGTGTAAGATTTTGAAGTTAGCTTCCATTTCAGATTCAAGCTTAGAAGAGGAGCATTAAGATCTGTAATTATATTTCAGTCCATACCATGGTATGGATGAAATATATTGTGTTCTCTGATGTTTCTTCTTCTCCTCCTTCTCCTCCTCATGCCAAACAGTCAGAGGGATTCAACTCCGCCATCATTCAGCCAAATGACTTGAAATTTGGCATGGAAGTAGAGTGGGCCAATACCCCCAGGCGTTTTTTTCATTTTTTTGATACATGCCTTTGAAAAATTTTTATGAAGGTTTTTTGGGGCATTTTTCGCCAAAAAATGGATTTTTGGATCCTGAGCCCTGGTTTTACAACCAAATGATCTGAAATTCGGTAATATAAGGGTACCTTGGACATGTGCCTACAGAACAGCAGTCACATATTTGGCATACACCACTTTCAAATGACTCATCTGGGGGACTTTAATGGCTATTTTCAGCAAAAAAAGGGCCAAAAGTGCTATACCCGTTCCATGTTCTATCTAAAGAATGGCACATTCTATCTGCCGTTGGCCATGGAACACGTGTTCCATTGCGGGTTACCTGAGGTCACATTGCACGTAAGTCATGCGGAATGACCCACACATTCAATTTTATCTGCCTAAGACCTTCAAAATTTATCAAATCTCATCATTGTTAGTATTTGCATACCTGTAAGAAGATTAGTAAAGCTTTCGAGATTCAATGTGCTTGTTCTTGCATCTTTGTTCTCAATTACATAGCTACTATACAATTCATTTATTTGAGAATCTTTGCCAGTTTTACACTGGGATAAGTTTGGAATAGTTTACTTTTGCGTGGGAGGGAGATGGACTGAAATATGCTGTATTTGCTCCCAAGCAAATGTCGGCCTCTCTAGTTATGTTTTGTTTTATATGGTGCACCCAAAAAAAAATGTGCACCAGTGCACCTATTCCCAAAAATGAATTTCGTGCCCTGGTGTGCCATCCACTACCTGAGTCCTCTCCTCTTCAACCTATTCATCAATGATTTTCCATCCTTATTAGATCCAACATCCTGCGATGCCTTGACATTAAAAGATACTCCTATAAACAGCATATTTTGGGCCGACGACCTCGTACTCGTATCGAAATCAGAATCAGGTCTAAACGAGTGTCTGAGGACGCTAGATCAATTTTGTTCCCTATGGAAATTACAAATAAATAAGAACAAAACAAAAGTAATGATATTCTCAAAAAATGGGCGGACATACGATAATAAACACTCGCCTTTCAAATGCCAAGGACAAGTTTTAGAGATAACTAACTTCTACACATACCTAGGGGTGGACATCACGCCTTCCGGATCATTTAGCCGTGCTATTAAACAGTTAAGACTAAAGGCTCTACGGGCCTCTTTTAGATTGAAATCTTTTTTGTCATCAAACTCCAACCCATCCATCCCCCTAGCTATAGATCTATTCAACAGTTTGGTTAAACCTATCCTACTGTATTGCAGTGAACTTACTGGAATAAATGTGCAATGCAGAGACCTAATTTTTAAAGGAATTAATGAATGTCCCAATGAAAAGATCAGAACATCCGTAGCCACAATTCTCAACCCGATATTAGGGTCGGAAATTGATTTACTGCGAGTCAGTCGCATAGGAAAGATATCAGACCCCTCGTCCTCCTGTACTCGCCCTGTTCTTGTTAGATTTAAGAAATATAGTGATAAACTGAACGTGATATACCAGTCAGACACTTTATTAAGAAACCAGAATATAACATTAGAACAACCAAAAATCTCATATGAAATACCTGACTTAGAATATGTACTTTTAAATTTTTGCAAAATTCTCCTCCATGTTCCGAAAGGATCTGTAAACGCCGCCGTAAGGGGTGAATTAGGAGTATTTCCCTTGTTCATTGACAGTCAAACACAGTTGATTAAATATTGGTTAAGGTTAAATAATTTACCAAATGATAGGCTTGCTAAAAAAGCATACGACATTTCAGTTGAAGAAGACCATGACTGGGCTACTCACGTTCAGGACATTTTATGTAAACATGGGTTCCAAAATGTGTGGCTTAACCCCGCAGTTAATGCCAACCGTTTTGGAATCATATTTAAAGAGCGTCTGAAAGACACGTTTCTTTCTGGCTGGAGAGAACAACTTAGAAACACTAGTAAACTTCATACATATTCTAAAATCAAAAAGCATTTTGGCATGGAAGATTATCTCACATCAATTTATAATAAATCGTTCACAACTAGCATAACAAAATTGAGAATCAGCGCACATTGTCTTCAAATCGAAAAAGGTCGACACCACAACACACCAGCCACTCAGAGACTGTGTCCCACATGTAATGAGAATATTGAAGACGAATTTCACTTTGTTATGACATGTCCCACCTATAGAAAAGAAAGAGATTCATTGTTACAGACTATTACAACTAAGACAAAGTTCACCCAATCTAGTACACAGTACGATACATTCTATGAATTATTGTCATGTCCTACTACCATATCTGCTTACGTAGGTCAATTTCTGTACACCTTATTTCATAAGCGAGACCAAATCATCAATTCATGAACATATTGTGACTCATATAATGTATAGATAGTAGTTTGTAGTAAGAAATGTAATAAGATAGTTTAGTTTTATAAGTATTGTTGTATTACTGCCACACATTGTACCATGTACGATTGTCGAGCAATAAAGTTCATTCATTCATTCACTACCATTACAGTCCCAGGGTGGCAAAACTTAGCTTTCTGAAATATCTGTTTTCAAAATCTATCCAGTTGCTCAAGTAATTGTTACTTTGGTCACATTAGGAGTGTTTAAACATCTACATAATATGACTAATACCTGTTGTAATACGTCTAAGCTTTCTTCCTTTGTATACAGATTGTGTGTACATGGCTCGAAATACTGGGTGTATGTGCACCTGTGCACCCAATTATTTTCTGTGGGTGCACTGGTGTACCCAAATATTTTTGTAGGTGTTTTTATAATAGTATGCAGGATATTCTTGGCATCTAAGAGTCAGAAAAATAATAAAATCTTTGTTGTGGTTCTTGTGTAAGATTTTGAAGTTAGTTAGCTCCTATTTCAGATTCAAGCTTAGAAGATAGAGGAGCATTAAGATCTGTATTATGTTTTGTCTTATGGTGCACAAAAAAAAATGTTTGTGCACCCAATTTTTTAGGTTGGGTGCACCTATTCCCAAAAATGATTTTCGAGCCCTGGTGTGCCATCAACTACCATTAGCACAGTCACTGGCAAAACGTAGCGGATGCTTTCTGAAATATCTGTTTTCAAAATCTATCCAGTTGCTCAAGTAACCGTTACTTTGGTCACATTAGGAGTGTTTTAAACATCTAAGTATGACTAATACAGTTGTAATACATCTAAGCTTTCTTCCTTTGTACACAGATTGTGTGTGCCAGTATTAGTGCAGTCACTGGCAAAACGTAGCGGATGCTTTCTGAAATATCTGTTTTCAAAATCTATCCAGTTGCTCAATTAACCGTTACTTTGGTCACATTAGGAGTGTTTTAAAAATCTACATATGACTAACACCGTTGTAATACATCTAAGCTTTCTTCCTTTGTGTTACAGATTGTGTGTGCCTGCAGGCTTCCAACTACCGACCATCCTGGGTGCCCTAGGTCTCTTCATCGCTAGCATTATCTACTTTGTGGTGGGTACATCTGACGTCAACCCTAAGGGGGCACACCCCAGTTTATTTTGGGTCTCAATTCGATTCTACATACCCTCAACTCTAGCGACCGTCTCTTTCAGGAAATACCTCTTAAGCCAAAACACTCTGTTTGCAAATGAAGGATATCCCTCTAGCTACGAGAACAATAGAATTTCAATTTCTTTCACCTCTCACATTTTAGTAAATTTTAGGGGGAAAAAGAATTTTTCCATGAAAAATGATGCCAAAAATTGGCTATTTTCACGTGGAATTAAACCCATCACCCAGATTTTAGCCACCGATATGACTTATATGGTCGGAAAGTATTATTAAGTATTATGTATTATTAAGAAAAGTATAAAGAAAATCCTAACACTGAGATTATCACAATAGCCCGTCGCGCGAGGCATAGCGACAGCACCCTCAGAACGCATACAAGGCATATTTAGGTCAAACCGAAGCACCACGCTCAGGGCGGAAGGACACCCAGAAGTAAGCCTTGGGCCCAAAATCAATTTTCACCCAAAACACGCCACTTCTTACACTTTCCAGCCATGTTAGTAGTTAATGCCATTTTGCAGCAGATTATCAGAAATGTAAACTCAAACATGAACCATCGGAACCCCATCGTCACTTTTTTTCCGGGCACTACAGTGGACCCCTGTCGCGGAAGAATTGGTGTGTGCACCGCTAACCTGCAACCTTTCTTTCCGCTCGCTCGGCAACTCGGTAAAATGTTTCAGGCCCCGAGATCAAAGGAGACTGTCAGCTTTGTGATCATATGTCAACATTTTTCTCCACAAAAACGTTATTAGATCAAAGCAGGTCTCTGTTCCCTTGAAGTTTCCTTTGTGATAGTTTAGCACAATTTGTCAAACCAGCGCCACACAAAACGTGATCAGTTTTGTGGCGCGTTCACCCTTAGCCAAGGGCGCCGTAATCCAACATAAAAGTAACTCTACTCTAAATGGAAGGGCAACCTCGTGTGAAGAAAAGGACACTTAGTCACCTCCTTGTAATTATTTCTTGGAAACATGAATCGTCTTTCTCCGCAAAATGATCTCCGGGGGGTTTAGTTCGCCTTGAAGGTGGCTCAGGAAGGAATCAATGGCTAAAGCGATGCGCCCAAAGTGCACATAAAGGTCTGTGCATGAAGTAAGGGAAGAGAAGCTGGAACTACGTACGACTCTGAAATTATATCTTGTGGCTCCACAAACCAACTAAGGGGTCACGGGAGCCTTTTCTCTCAGAGAAAACCTCTTGCGTGACCCTTTGGTGGGTTGTGGTGAGTTATTATTGGCTTCCTGAACAGCCAGACAGACTTTTTTTAACGGAATAGTTCAATGCAAGGCTTCTCAGCATTGAACTAGAAATATGAGAGAAACATGGCTACATGTATGTCAAGAGATGGCGGTGGACGTTCGATTTGAAATCCTGTAAATTTTAGGTTGGTGGGAAACACTTGTCAGGGAGGGAATTCCAAAGCTTGGCTGTACTGGGAAAGAAACTGTCACAAGATTTTGAACAAGGAATTTGGACGGTGAAGTTGTGTGAGCTAGTAGAGAACCTAGTGGAACGCTTAAAAGTGCTGATTGGAAGAACTAGTTGGGTGAGTTCTGCAGAGCAATGACCATGAAGATATCTGTAAAAGAGGGATAGAGAGGCAACATTTCGTCTATGGGAAAGGGGGTCTAACTTTGATCAAGAGCATAGCCTATGGCCACGCAAATTCTCTTTTGTATGCAGTGTGTGCTTCGCTTAGTGTTAGAGACTACGTCTTCTTCTTCTTCAACTGTGTACTTTGGATTTTTATTCAAATGCGCAGTAAGTGTGACTGACCTCTAACCAGTATTCTCACCAGCATCTCATGAGACCATGACAATTTGATTTGTTGGTTCTCGGATTCGCCTCTTTATTTTTTTATTAAAAAAAAAAAGATTCTGGTTCTGAATCAACTCAAAAATGCTGAGCCTCATATTTTTCCCCCAACAGTTGAGGAAAGTACTTCTACTACTACTAATCTGTTCGGAAGAAGTTCCACGCTGAAAGATTTTTTCCCAGAACAACATCACTTTGTTATACATGTAAGCTTTTCAAGTCTAAGGTCAACAAACATCTGTCCTCACTGGCTGTTCTGTAACCCAAAACATTTTGAGTGGCTCCCATGAGCCTTGTTTTGTGGTGACCTATGAAGTACATTAAAAAAAAATGAGAGTGGAGGCTTCTCTGCGATTAACTCTATGACCCTGATGTTCTCGTTCGTATGGCTGCATTCTCCCATATGAACACAGTTTGGTGATGTAACTCTTTTACCTCTAACAATTGGTATGTAACTTGATGGAAAACATTAAATGGATTAGTTATGACATTGTACATTTTAGAAGGTTATAGTAAGGAACAAAAGTTAGAACAGTCCAGTTTACTATGGGATGGGGTTGATTCAACTTACTACATTAAAAGAATAACCAGAAATTCAAAATTCAAATCTGACGGAAATGGCTTTTGGTGTATATCATGTAAATCCAAGTTCAACCAACAAATTGAATTGATGTGGTCCTATCTGACTTATTGTTTATTTGCAGTTTGCACTTAAAAGACAACAATATGTGATAACCTGTTACAAATAGTGTGCGGGGCAACCCAAGAAGCCTAGTGGCTTATCTAAGGGGTTACCCGTAAATACCATTTCCTAAATTACTTTTTACCTCCATGAAAAATGAAGGTATTGTTTTTGACATGTCTGTCTGTGTGTCTGTCTGTGTGTCTGTCTGTGTGACTGTCTGTCTGTGTGTGTGTTTCCACATCTTTGTGGCCAGCATAACTTTAGGACGCCTTTATGGATTGTGATGATATTTGGTATGTTGGTAAGTCTTGGGAAGACAAAGGTCAAGGTCAAATGTGGGCCTCCTGGTGTCTGGCCTTGGTACTGCAGCAGAATTTAATTACAGTGTTTTATACAATACTTAGTAGCACTTTAATGTATACAATGTCATGTAATCTATTTAATCTATGGTGGATGGAACATCAACAGATACCAATTATGCAAATGATGAGCTAATCTGCATAATTTATGTGAAAATTGCTTAATATCTTGTCTGTATGTTTGTCTGTGTTTCCTCCAGGCTGCGTTCCACGGGGAAAAGTGGCAGCCCATCGGCATCGACACCAAGGGCGCAACCAGTTCTTCCAACCAGACCGTCATCACACAGCCGCCATCACAGCCGCCCCCGAGAGCGCCGGCCCACGTCAGGCCCAAACGCGGGGCACAGCCCGTAGAAGGCGATCCAACCATCCTCTAGCCTTACAGTACATGTGTGGTCCGTGACTAGGATAGGCAGTAGTAGCCTTCTTCGCAGTCTTGTTGTGTTGAGCGTAGGCGTTATTTTTGTGAGCGACGCGAGTAATATGCCACCGCGAGGGAAGATTTGCTTCTGAGGGAGTTTTTGCCACGGAGAGAAGGTTTAGCGCTCCGCAGCAAATCGTCCCTTGCGGCGGCATATTACTTGCGTCGCTCACAAAAATAACGCCCACGCCCAACAAGACTGCAAAGGAGGCTAAGGCAGTAGGGAAAATGACTGTAAATTCTTACCAAGCAACAAAGTTTAGACAGTGATTTCCAAAGTCTATAGCCTGGGTACCATTCGGATTTTTGCTCCGCAACGCTCGATAAAATCATCCGGATTTTCGCTCCGCAACACTCAAATTTTTTAGAGCATTGCGGAGCAAAACTCTGGATGGTACCCAGGCTACAAAGTTTAGACACTAATTTCCAAATTTTGGACAGTAAAACTCCAGTCTTTGTCAAGGAATGAGCAATCCACTGCTTCTGTGATGTCACGTTATGCAGATGACACACGTGAGTCAGTGAGCAGTGGATCATAGTTTGCAAAAAGTCCAATTTCTACGGAATATACAGTTTAAGGCCACACCAATTTAATTTCTTGGTTAACGGATTTGCCCGCTTCTTTTTTTTCTGATTTGCCAAAGAAAATAAAAAATTCAGAATCAACTGCAAAATGCTCATATTTTGCCCTGAACAGTTGAAAACAGTCCTTTTTTCCTAGTTGTTACAGTTATTCCATCTTTCAATGCAATGGTATCATTAAAAGTTCAAAATTTCATTGTTTAAATTTTGAACCAGTCTGGTGCGTTGACTTCATGGCTCCTATCGTACCATTTTGGGCCATAATAGGATGCCTAGGCCTGTTTTTATTTTTTTTCGCCCGCCCGCTCCATTATTTTTCTAGAAAAATCCGTTAACCAAGAAATTAAATTGGTGTGGCCTAAACTTGCTTTGTATTGACTTCTACCAAGTAGACATGCACAGATGTGCCTTCAATATAAGACTACAAATTCTGCTGACAACTATTCATTTTTACATATCAACAGTACGTGTTTTACTGTATTTTTGTATAAACAAGGATTGTTATCATGCCTCTTTCTCTCGGCAAGCTTTGACTATTAACTACAGAGAAAAGGAATCCTTATAAATGGTATTACGGAAAGAAAACAGTACCCGGTATTCTTCTGACTATGTATATAAACATTACATGTCCCCAGGGCTATTTTTTATAACTCACTACACGGAGACATTAGCGTAGATTTGTGACAGTCTAGCTGGAGATATTTTAGACCTTTGTAAATTTGTTTTTTATATACATCATGTAAACCAGAATTTTGTGCCTATCTTTGCTATCTTTAAATAACTACCAGTAATGAAAAGAATTATTGTATGCAGGAATCAACCTATGACAGGAAGAAAAAAATGTTCAGTTGATTGTGATGTATCGGGATGTAGGGAGTTTTTTTCTAATGTGTGCTTCTCCTTTTCCAGTGGTTCTCATTGGTCAAACCGATAATTTCCATGCTATCATTGGCTGAACTGCTAATTGTGATTGACAGCCAGGATCAGTCTATTTTTAACAGTACCCATCATAATATACAATGTTGCTGACTGTGTAACATTTTTTTTGTGAGGTTGTACTTGAAGTTGTTACCTTTGTCCAATACAAAAACCAGATTCTGGATCAAACTAGAGAAATGCAAAATTTTAAACAAAAATGCAAATAAATTTGATTCACACTCTCATTGGTCACATTGCTGATTACCATGCCATTATTGGTTGAACTGATAATAACCTTTATTGTACTCTCATTGGTCACATTGCTGATTACCATGCCATCATTGGTTGAACTGATAATAACCTTAAAGTTTATTGTACTCTCATTGGTCACATTGCTGATTACCATGATTATCCCATCATTGGTTGAACTGATAATAACCTTTATTGTACATTCATGCCCTATCGGGCTAAGTACAGGTGAACAGATGAAAAAGGTAATATACAAGTTTGTAGTACAAACAGCTCTAAAACTATACACTAATACAGAGGTTCGACTTCTTCTTGTTTCTTTGTGATGTTAAAAATATAATTTGAAATGGGTTTGTTTAACAGAATGATCAAATTAAGAAAGATAAATTTTTCAATATTAACTGCTACTCGTGACGGACAGTAACATTGGACATTTTTTTTTGTGTCAACTTTTGGTTACATACATGTAAGATTGCTGTGTGTACGGAAAGGGGGTCAAATTCCTCGAGCGAAATGTTTTGTATTGGATAATTGTACAGTTCTATGATTGGAGATAGATCGACCTTGCCTCTTAAGATGGCAGGAAACTGGAATCCCATTTAGAATCAAGTGCACCGTTGATTTTGACTCTCAAATGGTCTTTTTTTTTTAATCTATTATTTGTATCATCCCAATAAATAAATGCATTTAGGCCACACCGCCTTAATTTTATGGATGACATCCACGCGCTCATTGATTTTCGCCTGTTCTCAAAAAAAAAATATATATATATATATATCACGTCCTCCGAGGCTCTAGCCTGGCTCTAGGCCTGGGTAGTCCATGGTAGTTAGCGACAATACGGAGCCAGTGATAACTCTGGAGGACGGCACCCGGCTACCGAAGCTCCACGACTCAAGAACTCAGACAGTACATACGAACAGTGTCGACATAAATTCCGCAACAAGCCAGCATGTGCCGGCTTGTCGTATACGTCGCTATGTATTACCACAAATTCACAATACCAGCTTTCTATTGCTGTGGTTTAGTAGCATTTTTATTTTTGGCCAGAATTTTTTTTTATTCCCCCGCGCGCACTAGTTTGGGGGTCTTCAGAGGATGTCATCCATAAAATTAAATCGGTGTGGCCTTACTGTATGGCAACTACTAAAGTCAACTTATGCTTCTCTTTTGGACGTGTACTTTAATTTCTTTTTACATTTAGTATCAGTGTCATATTTTAGGTCTGTCAAATGTTGAATGTTGTCATATTAGTCCAATGTATCTTGTCAACACCCTTAGGCCACACCAATTTAATTTGTTGGTTCTCGGATTCGCCTCTTCATTTTGTTCTGATTTGCAAACAAAAGAATATTCTGGTTCTGAATCAACTCAAATATGCTCATATTTTGCCCCCCACAATTGAGGAAAGTCCTTTTCATCCTGTTGTTACAGTTTTTCCATTCACCAATGCAGTGGTATCATTAAAAGCTCAAAATTCATAGTTTAAATAATTATTAACCCAGCCTGGTGTGTTGACTTCATGGCTCCTATCGTACCATTTTGGGCTATAATAGGATGCCTAGACCTGTTTTTATTTTTAGTTTTTTCGCCCTCCCGCTCCATTATTTTTCTAGAAAAATCCTTTAACCAAGAAATTGAATTGGTGAGGCCTAAAGCCAGCACCACACTGTCAATGACCTTCAGCCATTTTTTAATGTCCAGAAGGTCACGTAATTGCAAGATCACCAGAGAGACAAGTATATTTTTGGCCTGAAAATTGAACTGGGGACTTTGGTGACCTGCCAACACTGAAAACTGCACAGTGGATAGAGAGGCTCTCTGGACACTGGCCATACTGGTTCCAAAAATGTCTTTTTACTTTAGGCCACAGCAAGTAATTTTATGGATGACATCAGCGCACGCATTAATTAGGCCTGATTTTGGCCAACAAGAAATTTTGTTGCTTTCGAACAGTGGTCAATATGCTGAAAATGGGCAAAGATGTCTGTTGCCATGCCGTAAGGTAGATGGCAGATAATTATAAATGAAGAGAGGAGACAAGAAAAGGCTCTGATTTAATGTTTTGTTTCTTAACTTTGATGCAGTAATATGTGATGCTGGCTGTGTATATGTGATGTTCCTACTGAATCAAAACCATTTGTACAATGATTGAGTCAAAATTCTAAATTGTAGGAACCTTGTTTTTTTGCCTGCTCGCATTAGATCTGGAGTCTGCGGAGGATGTCATCCATAAAAGTTACTTGCTGTGGCCTTAAAAAGAGCCTGCAGGCTCGTTGGACAAGCTATTTTTCTGCTGTGTGACACTGGCTTCGTTGGACAAGCTATTTTTCTGCTGTGTGACACAAGCTATTTTTCTGCTGTGTGACACTGGCTTCGAAGTTTAGGCCACAGCAAGTAACTTTTATGGATGACATCCTCCGCAGACTCCAAATATAATGTGAGCGGGCGAAAAAAAACAAAGCAAGCCTAAAAAAACAAGGTTCCTACAATTTTAGATTTTGACTCAATCATTGTACAAATGGTTTTGATTCAGTGGGAATATCGCATATATACTGTTGACTTCATGGCTCATATTGTAACATTTCCGGCCTTCATGGGGTGCCTTGGCCTGTATTTTTTTTTTTATTTAATTTGCCCTGTCGCTCCTGATTTTTTCTGAAGAAATCCGAGAAACAACAAATTAAATTGGTGTGGCCTAAGTATGTCTTGTTGGACTGTACATGTATTTGCAAGTGCCTAAGCCAGACCCTAGCTTATGCTGCTAAAACAAGGACATTGTTGACAATGTTAAACATAATACAATCTACTTTTGTGGCATTTTTACATATCTGACTTGAGCAGCTTGATTGGTTTTCCACTTCTTGTGCATTCTAATACTGTAAATTGTGAAACGTTTGTGGTGTTGTTTTTTTCACAGTGTCGTCTTAACACAAAATCATGACACCACAAATTAAGATGTTTTTTGTATTTCTATCGCATATTTTTATCGTTTCTACGGAATTGTTTCAAACGTGTATAAAATGACCTCTTTTTCCTCATATTGGAAAATAAAAATATGTATAACGTATAAAAGTTTTTTTTTTTTGCACACACAGATGTCATCCATGTACGCACCTTTAGCCATTCTTTAAAGCATTTGTTCTTACTCGCCACTTCGGCAGAAAAAGAGAGAAAAGGAAAATCATCATAAAAGGGCATACCCTCAAGCAAACGACCGGCTTTGGCTATCTGGGCAGTAAGCTGTCATCTAACAACCTCATTGACGAGGAAATTGACAACAGGATTGCAAAGTTTACTAAAA